AAAAGGGGGGGGGGGGGGGGGGGGGGGGGGGGGGGGGGGGGGGGGTCGTGGTGGTTGGAGGCAACGAGGCTGCTGGGTTGGGGTAGACGTTTGCGCCTTGCAGTAGTCGCGCTGGCAAGTGATAAATCATTTCAACTGTCACTTTCGAAACACAATTTTATCTAAACACACACATACATACAGACATATACATATACGTATATAGAGATAGAGTGAGAGAGAGACAGTCAGAGCTACAGATACAGAACAGACGTTGGTATTTGGGGTTCAATTGTTGTTCTTCTTGTTGTTGTTGTTGTTGTCTGGGGTGGCTTCTATTTCTAAATGTCGAAATGTCTGCAGTATGGAAAATTCATTCTATATATATATACATGTATATCTATAAATGTGTGTGTGTGTTTGTATGTGTGTCACTCGTTGTTTGAGCTGCATTTGAACTTTGTGCCTTGCTGATAAGAATGCATTGCATTTGGTATGTTTTAGTTTTTGATTTTCTATTTTTTTCTGTTTTTTTTTTTCTCATCGGCTTTGTAATCAAACTGACAGGCCAAAAGAGTCTAGCGCCATTTATCAGCACTTAAGAGCGTGAGGGGTGTGGGCGAGGGGGCTGCGGGGGCGTGGGGTAGTGGCGTGACACTCAAAAATAGTCGAACTATAAATAGCGACGGGAAAAGTTGGGAGTGAAATGGAAAATGGAGCAAAAACGACAAATATTTCGTTTTGTTTTTATCATTCTTGAAATTTGTGACAAAAACACACGCCGGCTATTTAAAATATCATAAAAATCAACAACAACAGCAAACTTGAAAAACTATTTGGAAAATATTTCCTAGTCGTTTTATTGCTGCTCTGCTTTCTGCTCTGCTTTTGGCTCAAGTTGTGGCGCGCACATTTTTGTCAATTTATTGATTTAACATTGCATAATAAGCAGTCAGAAGAAAAAAACAGAAAACAAAACACAAAATCATTAACTTGGCTTTGGCGTCTACAAACAAAACCAAAAAAAAAAAAAAAAAAAAGCGCCAACAGCAACAGCTACAGCAGCAACAACAAAAACAACCTTTATATTGACTGGTCGTTGCGTCTTGCCACTCAATTCGCTTTGAATTCGCCTCGCACACGCACACACAGCGCGGCAGTTGACTAGCGCCGTCTCGCTTGCACGAGCGCGACAGCTGCAGGCAGCTAAGCAATGGCGCTGCCTTCTTACGATATAAGCAGGCGGCAAGCAGCCAGTGTGCTCAACTTACGATACAGCGACGGGGAAATCTCTTGAGTGTGCATGCGAGTATGTGTGTGAGTCTGTGTGTGTGTGCGCGCCTCTCTCAGAGAGCGCTTCAGCGCAGACTGTTTGGCTCGGGCTGCCGTTTGAGTAGTTTTGTGTGTGTGTGTGTCGTTTTTATTTTTATTTTATTTTTTAACTATAAAAACGACAATAAAATTTTTAGTACAAAGATTTATGTGCGAACAATTTGGTCTTTGTCTCTGCTCAGCTCAGCTCAATTAATTTGTTTTGCTTTTATTTTTTTTATTTATTTTTTTCGTATTGTTTTTGTTTTGCTGATTGTTTGAGCGCATTTTGAATTTGATTAAACAGGTGCGACAGCTGCGACATCTAATATGCCATTAATATTTTTATTAGAATATATATAGATGTGGATTTTTTGTTTGTTTTTTTTTTTTTTTTTTTGTTTTTTAAACCAAGCATTGTCAACCCTCGACTGCAGTTTGTGTGCACGATAAACACCCCACAAAAGCGTCCATAAAACGTGCCCATTACTACCAAGAAAATTGGCCATTAAGAAAACGAGGCAGACGCCTCAATGTTGTTGTTGTGCTGGCCAAGTTAGAATTTTAAATAAAGGTGCGACGCCCTCAGTGAGCTGAGGAAGAAGCAAAAGAAAAAAAGCAGGAAAATAATAGAAATTGGGGCGCGAGTGTTAGCCACCCTCTGAGCTGGCGACGCCCAGGCACTTGGCTTCATTCAATGGGCCAATAAACCAAATTATTATTAACGCCATTCTCATCTTATTTTCTACAGTGTTTCATTTAAAGTTTTATGCGCTCAAAGTGCCCATAAAGCTGAGAGCAGAGGCCATAAGCTACAGATAGTTGTGGGCGTAAGCTCAAAGCGTTCCACCTGTCACTCAATCTGACTGTCTGTGTGTCTGTGTGTCTCTCTGTGTGTGTGTGTGTGTGTGTGGCTTAACATATTCAACATACTGTCAATATTGCGCAAATCTTGAAAGTTTGACAAGTGTTGCAAATCGCGTGCGACAGTTCGTTGAGTTGAGTTCAGGTTTTTGCCGGCACAGGGCTTAGGAACTTAAGAACCTTAGATATGATAGCTTATAAATACACATACATACATATATAAATATACATACAGATAGATAGTTAGATACTTTATCGCAAATATTATTATTGATTTTGTTAATTAACGAGCGGCTTTTCCAATTTCCCCTTTGCAGGACGATGGTGTCGAAGAGAATGGTCCTCACCTGCCGATGCTCGCAACGCAGACGCCTCCCGGCGGCTCTATTCCTCAGTCTTCCTTGGCAGTCCTGGTAAGTACTTGAGCTAACTGTAAGCACCAACCCGCCCGACCCAATCGAACCTTTATCAGTCTTACGCGCCAACTGACGTCAATGTTTCCATTAGATTTCATTGATTTACAATATCGTATTTGGTTTGGCTTTGTTTTTGTGCTTTCTATTTTTTTTTTTTTTTTTCGGTGGTTTGTTAAACGGAAACCTGCCGCATGACAGTGGTGTAGCATTGTTTTTTTTTTGCGATTGTTTTGTTGCGCTATCGCCGGCACCAGCAGCGAGATCTGTTGGCCAGATTGTGCCAAAGAGTTAACGTTAATGGCAGCGACTGCTAACAATGGCTGCCTCTGCCTCTGCCGCTGCCGCTGCCACTGCCTCTGCCTCTGCTGCTGCTGTCTCATGGCCAGGCGCAGTAGGTAATTTCTATAATGATATACGAACTTGCCACTGGCCACAAAAATGCCAAACAAAGGCAACTGCTGCCCCAACTAGGCTCATCTCAACTGGCCGCCCTCCTGTCCATGTTTCCTGTTAATGGATCAGCCAATGCCACACAGTGCATCTCCTGGCATTGTGCAGCAAATATTACGAGATCATTTGGAATTTATGATTAATATCTTTTATTTCACTTCATATTATATAATAATAATATATAGTATGTGTTGTAGGAGGCCAATAAGAGAATAGAGGGAATAGTTCTAGAGTTAACAATCCATAGATATAAATTTATCGATACTTGATGTTGGTCTATCGATGATCGAGAATAGCTGAAGGAAAACGAAGACAAAGAACTTCATAAATAGATCTAATGCCTTATATATGTATCTGTATGTGTATATTTATACTTACTAAAAATAATTACTAAAAATGCGCATTTAAATTCCGCTGTAAATAAATTTTGGGCTAGACTTACGAATTGTTTTTTCTTTTTCTATGCGATTAAATTGATTACGAAACAAATACTTATCGGAGGTTATATAGTTATTATTATTAGAGAAAAAATTTAAAATTGCAGGATACTTTGATTTCATATCACATATGAGGTTGTACATCATTATATATATCACATATTGCATATATATATGTATCACATATTTATCAAATTCCATTCCTACAAGGTGTTCTCAATTCCCTCGCTCAATTTCATTCTTTTCTGTAGAATATATAGCATATTAATGTATATATAAATATTATACAAATTCTATATCATTCTCTTGCTCAATTTTGTTGCCTAGTGCAACATATAAGGGATATCTACATAACTATATATATATATTATATTTATCAAATTCCATTCCTACACAGTCTTCCGCCTTCTCTTGCGCAATTTTGTTGCCTAGTGTAGCCAAATTGCCTAGCTTAGCCAATGGGGCGTCGCTTCAGCTTCGCAATGCGTGCCAATTTTCTCTCTTCCTCTCTCTCTCTCTCTCTCTTTTTCTCTCTGTCTATGCTGTAATCAAAATTCCAAATGCCAGCAGGTTGCTCACTCGAGCAATTCGTTAAAGTCAATTTGCAAATCATTTTTCCATTGAAACTCAATCTACGTCCACGTGAAAATACCCAAAAGGAATGAACTTGCGGCTCAGCCAGCTCAGTCAGCCCAGCCAGCTCAGCCAGTCAGCCATTCGTCCGTCTCTCTGTCTGTCCATCCGTCCATCGTCTCTAGTCTCTCTGCTTTGGTCTGTCGTCTCTAAAGATTTAGCCACACAGCGCCTCACACTCCTTTGCCGCATCGATAATAATGATTTTCTTTGAAATGCATACTTGAGCTCCAGCTCCAGCTCCAACTCCAGCTCCAACTCCTGCTTCAGCTCCAACTCCAGCCTCGACTTTGGCCTCGTGGCTATGGCTTAAAAAACAGCAACAGCAACAGCCACAACAACAAAAAACTGACAGACAACTTTGTGTGCGCTGCAGCTTAGCTCCCTCTTCCCCTCCTCTCCCTCTGCCCCCTCCTCCTGCTGCTGCTTGCTTAGACTTCGATGGCTTCGAACGTGGTGTAATAATACTAAATTGTTGCTGATTATCCTTTTGGCGGTTCGCCTTTGGACATGTTCTTTGGCCTGGGCTCTGTCTACGTTTTTGGCTCTGTCTCTGGCTCTTTTGCATACGCTGGCCTCGCTTTCTGTTCTTTACCTGAAAATGGCGTCACAGTCGCTGAGCAGCAGCAGCGGCAGCGGCAGCGGCGGCAGCAGGAGTCGGAGCAGCAGCCGTTGCTCTTTGCATCTGCAACTCTATTTGGACTCGCAGCTCCGCCCCTCTCGACGCTCTTCTCTGGGGCCCTCGCCGGAGCATGTGTGTGCTGGCTTGATTTTGAAAGAAATCAAGCAAAAATCAAAGCCGAAGCCGCCAAAAAAACACAAGCACACACACACAGACACACATACAACCACTTCAATGGAGTGGTGTGGCTTGAAGTGTAGCCAAGAGACGAGGCCCACTTCAATAGCCACATAAATAGACTTGGAGTCGCGCTTGACTCTGTTACTCTTTGGAAAATCGTGTGGTCCGTTGGCTTTTCTACAACGTTTCGATTCTGGGGATTTTTTTCCTGCTTCTTCTATTTCTTATTTTTTTTGGGTGCTTCATTTTTATGCTTCACTTGGCCGCTTTGTCGGCACTTGAGCCGTGGAGCGCTTTTCCACTCCGCACGTTTTTCGCAGAAACTTTTCTGTCGCGCTTTGGTAATTACCGTTAAATGACCCAAGTCGCCACAGCCAGCCTCCACCCGCCGCCCGCCGCCCGCCGTCCGTCGCCTCCTGTCAAACTGTGAGCCGACGCAGTCCTTGACAATTGTCAACTGCCGGCCGTTGCCTCAAGGCTGAGCTACAGCTTCGCTGTCTGCAAATTAATTGCGGCCCAGGCCGGAGTCAGAGCCGGAGTCAGTGAGAACTGGCCTAAGCCCCCAGAGCCACAAGTTGTCCAACTCGGACGGGCCAAACAAATTTTGCATACCAAATGCTATTTCTGTTCGCCTCGTTGTTGTTTTTCTTCTGTTTGTTTCTGTTTCTGTTTCTGCTTCTGTTTCTGTTTCTCTCTCTCTCGCCCAACTCGGCAAAGTTTGTTCGAAGTTGCACTTTGCATTTTAACAGACGGCGACAACTTCCAGCAAAATCAATTAACAAACAATAAACGTTTGTTGGCCAAGCCAGACACGTATTTTATTTAAGTATCTAGAATATTAAAATGGGATCAGACACGACTTGTTCTGCGCGTGAGTGAGAGAGAGAGAGAGAGAGAGAGAGTGAAAGAGAGGACATTGAAGAGTGACAAAAATTGAGGCACTGCGTCGGCGACATTCATTGAAACGTTTTTGGAATATTTGAACGGCTTGCGTTGGCTTTCTTTAATGCGTTTTGCTGCGGCTGCAACAACAACAACAACAGCAGCAACAGCAAAAACAATCTGAAAGATACTTTTGTGTGTATGTGTGTGTGAGTGTGTGTATGGCCATTGGCCGGGCTTAATCTGTCGCAATGCCTTGGAGGCCTTGGTGAGAACCACGAACCACCCAGCGACCGCCGACAGTCAGCGAGCGCATCAACTTAAGACGATTATTTATGAACTGCGGGCCAGGGACAGGGCCATTGGCAATGCCAATGGATTGTTAAAGCCAACTGCAATGGCCGCTGGCCGCAGGACACTGACATCGACACCGACACCGTCCGCCGACACCGTCAAGCACCGACACCACAAAACATTCTACATGTGTACAATGTAGCAATGCGTGTTCGATGACTTAAATGACAAGGAGCGCGCAGGGGCAGGGGCAGAGGTAGGGGCAGGGGAAGAGGCAGACAGAGATGAAGATGGAGATGGTGACGGAGCTGGAGTCGGGAGACGATCTTTCGAGGAGCTGCCTGAATGCCTGGCGCAGCTGTAACAAAAGTTCAATGCGCAGTTCACAAAATACTCTTAGCCATGTTATTACAAGCAGGCTAAATGACTGCCAAACCAGCAAGACTGAAAGGTGGCGCAGCGTCAATCGAAAGGGAGAGATATATGTAGAGAGGAGAGATATATAGATAGAGATAGATATATTGATATTGAGATAAATATAATATAAGATATATATTGAGATTTATATA